TTTTACACAGGTGGAAGGCAAAAGGCATAAGCTTCACTTGTTTCCAGCCAGCAATTAACAGGCTCACACTGTGATACTTTAGCATGTGCCAAGCTGGTATGCACCTCCAACAACTGCAGCTGGGACTGTTTAATTGCTAGCTAGAAGCAATTGAACATTATGCCTTCTGCCTGCAGGGTTTCAGTCATTTATATTTTGGTAAAATAAAGACATACATACATCTTGTAATATTAATTATTCTTTTGAGGAAGTACACACCTATTTATCTATATTTGGTGTAAAAAGCAATTCTCTCCAATCCATTAAAGCCAAGATAAAGCTGCAACATGCCCTAAATGCTGACTGGATAGCTCAGTGGCTTAGAAGCCAGAAATTGGGAGTTCAGTTTCCAGATGTGCCTCCCATTAGCAAATGGGAAGCTGCCTAGTCCCTTATTGCTCCCTTGAAGAAGGGAATGGTAAACCACCTGAGTACTCTAAACCAGACATTCTCAATCATTTTTGGCCACAGACTTTTAAAGAGGTCTTCTCATGTTCCAGGCTCCCCTGTCAAACAAAGATGCAACACAGACAGATATCTTTCAGAGGTTTCTCACATATTTCAGTATATAGTCCACTTCAAATAGGGGCCCTCAGGGGGTCATATGGGCCTCACTGAGAATGGCTTCTCTACACATAGAAAACCCAGAATTGATTTGATGGTAACCTAATTATTATAATAATATTTTAAATTGAATGCTTTCCTCAAGATATCAAAAAGAATACAGTCAATGAACAGAGAAAAACTCATTAGGAGGTTGCAGCTGTGGCAAATGGGATATGTGACCAGGCAAATCAGTTCAATATTAAGGGAACATAGTTCAGTGACAAAAGACATGCTTCACATACATGAGTTACCTGCTTCAATCCACAATATCTTCATTTAAAAAGATCACAGAGGAAGTGATGTTAAAGTCCTCTGCTTTAATGCTGAAAATTTGCTGCTGGTGACAGCAAATGAGACAATACAGGGCCAGAATATGGATTGATAGTCTTACTTTATATAAAGCAATTTTTTTCTTCCTACTGCTGTGTCAAAGTATTCAAATCCTGCAGTGTAAAATAAACTATGCACCTTGATGCAACAGTGGGCCCATTACTACTTGCCAATTGGTAAATGACATCCATGAGAATATGGAAAAGGCCCACACAATCTCTTCACCCTATATCTGCAGCAGACAGATTAAATAACCAAGGATCAGGAGAACATTTTCCTTCAACAGAACTCTTACAGGTCTAAATAAAGAGGGAACGGGACAGGAATAACATCAGACTTTTAAAGGTCTTATAAGTTCCAGTTTCCCATAAATCAATTTATAATTTTAAAATGGCTGAAATCCTGTTGCTTAGTGTAGTAGGTCTCAGCAGTAGGTAGGTAGGTAGGTAGGTAGGTAGGTAGGTAGGTAGGTAGGTAGGTAGGTAGGTAGGTAGGTAGGTAGGTAGGTAGGTAGGTAGGTAGGTAGGTAGGTAGGTAGGTAGGTAGGTAGGTAGGTAGGTAGGTAGGTAGGTAGGTAGGTAGGTAGGTAGGTAAGATATCACCTCAGGGAGGGGGGGCGATGATAACTTCCTCAATGGCTCAAAGGGGCATTTCTTTCAAAAAGGTTAAGAACCACTGGTGTAGTAGGTCTCAGCTAGAGTAGGTCTACTGAAGTAATGGAGGATTAATTCACCAAACTCATACTGATTCAATGGGTCTACTCTAGTTTTGACATACTGCTAGATCTCTAAAGTAGGAATGATTGAATAGGTTTGCTACGAAAATGGACTAGATAGGAGGCAAGGCCACATGTGTAAATTGTGCAAAGACACAGTGGGCAGCAGCTATGAGAAATTCTGTTTCAATACACTTCTGCTAGAATTCATATTTTGGTTGCTGTGGGTTTTTCGGGCTTTTGGCTGTGTTCTGAAGGTTGTTCTTCCTAACGTTTCGCCAGTCTCTGTGGCCGGCATCTTCAGAGGACAGCACAAAATTCATATTTTGTATAGAACTGACAAGATTTTAAAATATCAAATCAAAGAGAAATGAAAATTGATCCCCTTATGCCATGCAGTGACCTTTGAGCTTGGGATTCCATTTTATTTCTTCACGTCCCGTGAAGACATTCACAAGATGCAAATTTGGGGACTACTGGCCTAGAAGTTGTCATTTAGTTCTATGTCTACATGTATCACCACTATTTATCTAGCCCCTTCCATTCTTCTGGCACCAGCCTATGCTGTATAAGTCTAAGCTTCCCTGACTCTCTGTACGTAAGTTCTCATTATTATCAGTAAATAACTACTACAAATGAAACCTCAAAGCATATTGAAGGATACCAATGTAACCTGGCTCAGATGTCTTATTTAAACTATTTTTATACTGCCCTTCAATAAAACTCCCATGGTGGCTACCAACAAAATAATAAAAGCCAGAAACCATAAATATAAAATCAACCATAATAAAATAAAAAAATATAGCAGAGAGAAGCATCTAAACAAAGTACACAGTACTCAGTGGGATAGATTCTTTTTTAAAAAAATCTGTTGAACGAGCTTTCATAAGATGATAAATAGGCCAGTTAAATAAAAAGGTCTTGGTTGAACCAAGAGTATATTAATACAATAGGAGGTCAAGTGCATACCTGACCCTTTGTCCCACTTATCAGTGCTATACAGTACTATTTATAAAGAATGAGATTGCCAGTAAATCTTGTTAGTGCCCTCTGGGATGTGTGTGTGATGATGATCGGGTAGTCTTCAGAACAGTTAAAATTCTACCTGTGTTCATGTAAGGTCTGCATAACTCATCACAGCTGAGGAGGTGCAGGGGTGTAGCTCAGCAAGCACATTACTAGGTAAACAACTGAGATATACTCCTAGCACTGTGTCAGTTAGTGGGAATTCGCTGCAGCAGGCTATGAAAGCCTTACACAAATACCAATAGGAATCCGGCCAATGTGGTTTCATGAAACCCTGACCTTCTGTTTTGCTCTTCTCTGTCCCTGACAATTTGAAATACAGAAGAATAAAAAGAAAAGCTGGGGAGAAAGATACAAGTGATACCTGTGGTATATATGATTCTGTAAAAAGGGGGGGAAGCGTTGGTATAAGCAGTGCCGCCACGACAAGGCCCTTCCCCATAGGCACTGGTTATAGGCCAGAGAAAAAAACCCTTTCAGGGTAGCCGTTTCCCCATGGTCTGGTTAACACCACTTAGACAACATGAATGGGCCTATGTCATGATTTTTTTCCTTTCCAATCATTCATTAAAGTATAGGGATGACGATGCTGGCACAGAAAGGAGTGCTCTAGGAACTGTATCTATAAAATATTATTTGGGGTATGTAAGTCCAGATCACAGGATCAAATGAACAAGCCATCATGGCTAACATACGAATCAGTTAATGGTTGAGTTGAGCAGAACTGGTGAGAGTGCTCTAGGGCAAATTTCTTTGCTGAGACTGTTCTAAAGAAAAATAGTTATCTCTCCTTTGCCACCAAATTGTCAAAAAGCAAGCAACATTTAGACAATGGAAGGCAGTACAATAGCTTAGGCGTACAATGTATTTCTGAAGGCTGCCTGCAATTTCACTTAGATGGCTGCAATCTTGAGGTGGTGGAAGGAAATGACAAAATCAATTCTTTTCCTTACATACACACTAGGGATGTTTTTCTGTAGATTGAATATCACTAGTACCAAAACATAAATCGGTCATCATCTCCTCTTACTCTTCAAAAACATAGGTGTGCTTGGAGATACACAGTCCACAGTACTATAAGAACATTCCTACTAGGCTGCCTGAATGCAATTTAAGATGCAGAGTCAGGTCCACCTGAAAACCTGTACTACCCTCTTGACTGGGAGGTGTGGAATATGGAAATGGCAAGGTTAAATGAATCAGCCTCATGATGAGTGGTCAGTGGATCTTGAGAAATTGATGAATTGCAACTAACTAGGAGATGAGGGGTTGGGAAAATATACTGTGGAAAGCAGAGAGCTGCAGAAGCCAAGCAATTATTTGTTATAATAAAGTATCAAATGACAGGAAATTTTACAGCCCACTGGAAGATGACCTTTTTTGTTTTCACTCTTTCCATGGGCATATCTTGGAAATGAAATGTAGTCAGAGTGAAGTATATTGTTCCAGAGTTAAATATAATATTATTACTACCAAAGCTTCTTTTTAATATTTATAGGATGAAATACCTCACGACTATAGCCTGAGGAGAAGGGTAATGCCAAACAAGCTTCCCAGACAGGCTGCTTGGCCCGAACAATCAATCTCCCCTGCTTTTTGCAGTCCATGTAAAGTAATGCTTCTAAGTCATGTTTACTCTCATAAGGGTATGTGGTTAAGCTCTAATAGCCATGGCCAATAAGCAACCCACATGTGCCCTAAATACAAGCCTTTGGATTCTTTTGAAATATGCACAGGTTCCTGGTTAAGCAAGTTATTGTGGAAAATGTGCGATGAAGATTTTTTAAAAAAAAAAATTCTTGGGGAGAATTATTAAAATTAAAATAAACAATAGCACCTGAGTGGGTCTTCAGAACAACAGCAACAGCTATGTGAACTACTTCCAAGTTCTTTAGAATGCTTCCATTACTTTTTGATGGAACTAGTTTTACAACCCGAGTAACAGTAAACTGCTGCAGACTGGGACATAGACTGTAAAAGCCCAGCTACAATATTAATGAGCATTTGCTCTATAGAATTCCAAACTGCATATAGTTTGGTTAGTATGCCTGCACAGTTGATTTGGTGAGACCATGATATGCCTTTCTGTACTCTGCTTCGTCTGTTGCAAACCCCATTAATAGTACTAAGACTTTAAACCATACATGCATCTGCTAAGATGATTATCTTCCACCTACCACTGTCATGCACAATCAAACAGCTCTTCCATTTTCTTATACAATATATATCACAAGGCCACTAAAAATAAAAATAAAAATGAAATGGATATTTGTAAAGAACTTACAGCTGCAGGTCTGTCCACTTCGCAGCGACTGCTTAAAATGAAACATGCCTCAGCATCATCCATCCTAGAAATTGTATAAAAACTTTAGGAAAACATATTTTACTTTCCCATACCACTTGCAATGGCAACCAGCTTTAAAATGATTTTTTTTTCATATTTTCAGTAGGCAGAAATAAGCTACAATACATAAGGATCATTTAAACACATCTATGAGCAAAATATTTAATCACATATTATAATAATCTATTAGAAATACATATGAGACCAGAACATTTTTTTTTTAAAAAAATATTTTTCTATGTAATTAAGGCAGAGATTATAAAAGCTACTTTTTTTGCTACAAGAATCCTTCAGAAGCAATGCCATGACCGAGCTGGATTGAACTTCTTGTTTTAAAAAAAGGAACTTGTTCCCATTTCTAAATTTGGTCTATCTCAGGCCATTTTAGAGGAGGCTGTATCCTTGCATGCAGAAAGCAGAACCCCATTCCCTAAGATTTTCAGGCCAAAATCTGAAACCAGGAAACCAGTCTCTGTGATGTCACACAGACTGGCACTTCTGATGTTGCAGAAACAGGGCAAGAAAGGTTCAGAAGGGGATGAGCCTGCTGGAAATACGTGCAAGCAGAATCTGAGTACATGTGTCCAGAATCTGGGCAAAACCTGAATAACCAGAATGTAGAGCAAGCCAGGGCCAGACAAAATAGTCAATGTCTTGCTACCCATGCAGGTGGCAAATGGTATTCTGGAGATGCACAGCCAGGTTTTTAAAGCATCTTAAGCACACAAGTCATTTCTCTCTCTCTCTCTCTCTATTCCTCTAATGTTGCTTGCCTTTCTCTCCCTCTCTTTCTCACTCTTTCACACATGGAGACCTGGGGGAAGCACTGCAATTCCCTCAAGCTTTTACCCTGTACTCTGTGACTTAACAACCCTAGTGGAGGTTACACCACAAAACAGCTAAGGATACTAACTTAAAAATAAAAAGCATCAAAGTTACTAAAAGCAGCCTAATAAAAATAAAAGATAAAGAGAGCCTTTAACAAACTTGCAGCAATAATAAGTTAACTGCAGCAAGTTAAGACGCAAACAAGGGCAGGGTTTTAAAGCCCATCATATAACAAACCCATTTATTCACTTTCCATGTAGATCAGGACCCCAAGAATTCAAGGTCCCGATTCACATGGAAAATGCACATGGACAATCGAGTTCTCCTCCTTAACACTGCTCCCTCCAGGTGCTGGGGAGCAATAGAAGGGAAGGGGCTACGGCTAAAGTGCTTCATTTGTACCATGGTGAGTGTATACAAATTGTAAAGCCAAATAATCTGCTGCCCATTCATGACACCCAACATTGGAGACAGCTGCCATTACTTTGCTTGACCTGCTGCTCAGGATGGTCCTGGCATTAATTTAGCATCCAAAATACTTCTGCAATCAGTGGTGAGAGCAATCATAATATAACCCAATCAATACATTTTGCTGAATCTCTAGCAACTCTATGCTCAAGCTGTATTGGTTCTTATGATTTTGGAGACAGCTGCCATTACTTTGCTTGACTTGCTGCTAAGGATGGCCCTGGCATTAATTTAGCATCCAAAATACCTCCACAATCAGTGATGAGAGCTATCATAATATAATCCATTCTTATGATCCTATTCTCTGGAAGTATCCAAAATGGAACAGCCAGCATGATTTTTTAAAAAGAAAGAAACTGATTTCTTTAGAATTTTAGCAAAAGAAAAAAAGAGTAAAATAGCCACCAATAAGCCTAAAATTTAGTTTTCTATTCAGAATCTTTAGCTTAGTATTCATATTAAAATGTTTGAATCCCCATCAAAACCACATTTTTATTAGTAATACCTATCACTATCTATTTACTAGATTGGTTATGATACAATGAGGATGAGGATGATGATTTTTCTAAACATTATCCTTATTCTGAAAAGAAGTTAGACATGCTGCTGCTTAGCAACTTTCTAGTTTACTAGGTTATACATCTTACACTATATCCTCTTAAATTCTCCCCTTCTATCTCCCACAGAAAACATTTTTAAAGCTTCTTGTGAACTGTACATTCAATTGCATGTTTTGCAAGAGGAATAGTATATTTATAGAATTTCTTGGCTTTGGGTTTACTTCAGGCTATACTCCTATGATTATATTTAAGCGATGGTGCATTTATTTTACAAACATGATACACTCAGGAAAATATAAGTTTGTTCTATAATTACTCGTCATCTTAAAAAACAAAACCACAGCAAGTTTGTAGGCCTCATCTAGTCAATATCTGATTAAGGCAGTTTGTTGTCTGTGTAAGTAAGGGCACCTCAACTTGAAATGTCATGATGAATTGCCATCCTGAACTATGAAAACTGAACATATTTTTGCCTAGGAATCCTGAAATTACTGTCTTTCATATGAACTCAACATTGATAGGTACAGACAAACTTTATATGATCAAGGCACAGAGCACAGCTTGGAAAATTACTATAAAATGTAATGTGTTATATCTATTTGGCTGAAGAGATCAGTGGTTTGGGTACCTGGCTGCAGACCCAGGTTGTGAGTTCAATTTACCACTTTCCCTCCTAGAGGAAGAGCCAACCTGTGTAGCCTTGGTCGAGCTACACAGTCCCCAGATGCCCCCAGAAGAAGAAAATGGTAAACCACTTCAGTGCATTCTCTACCTAGAAAACCCTAGAAATGGTTCCTGTATGTCAGAATTGATTTGGTGTCATGCAATTATTATAATAGATTCAGTTACTCCAAATTATATCACTATAGGTAGTTAGAAACAGAGATGGGCACAAACCGATTCTCTACCTAGAAAACCCTAGAAATGGTCCCTGTAAGTCAGAATTGATTTGGTGTCATGCTATTATTATAATAGAGTCAATTACTCCAAATTATATCACTATTGTTACAAATAGAGATGGGCACAAACCACAATTTGGCAGTTCAGCCCAGATCAGCGCTGCGCCCACATACGTAGGTGTTTTGCGGCCACTACACACTCCTCTACTGCCTCCACTGCACACTCACCTATTTTCTGGCTGATGCATGCTTCCCTGCCGGCCTCCTGCACAAGACTGCCCACTCACTGATCTCAGCATGTGCTTCCCTTCTCCATCTCCTCCACTACCTGCCCACTCAAAGGCAGTGCTGCAGTTTTCCCTGCCCCAACACCTCATCTGAGTGGGTGGCTGCTGGAGGAGGCAGAGAGGAAACCATGCATTGTCTAGGGAATGGGCAAACACACAGAAGAGGTGGAAGAGGAAAGAATGGGTGCCTGTGAAACACCTGCACAGGCACAACGGTGAACTGGGCTGAAAAGCCAAATTGCAGTTTGTGCCCCTATCTAGTTACAAATAATAATGGTGAAATGAACATTTGTTTCCCATATCTCAAAGATAACTGAAATTACTATTTTTTTTACTTTTGTTTGAAAAAAATGTGACTGCTGTAACTACCTTGTCTGTGGTGCAGACAAACTGTCCTCCCATCTACCTTGTTGTTGCCTCAATACCCAAAACAAGTACAAGGCAGGAGCAGAAGTCATAGGAGGAGGACACATCACTGCATTTATCAAAGTAATCAACTAAAAACTTGTAGTTGCATCACAAGAGGAATGAAGCCAATCCTCATTACTGATACTTCCCATCTACCAATCAAAACACAGGATGCTAACAAGCCCAGTTCAAATACAACAGGAACAGCCTGATCATTGCTGTTCCAAGACAAACAAGATAAGAAGCTAAGAACGTTAGCTAAAAACAGGCACAGAATTTAATCATATATTTTAAAGATGGATATGTTTAAAAAGAAGGGTAAGTGATGAGAGAGGTCCAAAGCGATCTTGGAAATAAACAGTTTTTTGATACTAGAGTGCCACACCAAGCATATCAAGTCTTAAATACTTCACATGAATGACTATATATAGTAGGACCTCTGCATCCATGGGGGATCGGTTCCATGAGCTACCATGAATTAATGAATCTGCAAATACAAGGGAAGCCTATATACAACATATAAGAGGGTAGGACAAAGGCCACAAGCGGGTGGCTGTATCCTGTGTATACGGCTGCAGCAAACCACGGATAAGTGAAACTGTGGATACAGATTCCATAAATACAGGGATCCTACTGTAGTATTTCAGATAAAACCTGCCTCCCATTTTGCCTCTAGTTCTTATATGTGAAAATATAAAAGATGAAATCCAAGAAGAACAAAAAAAAAAGGAAGGAAGGAAGAAAACATTTTTTCACCTACTTCGCTCTTAGCAGGTCTTGATCCTTCAGTGCTGAACCTTGCAGATAGATAACTCTTTGGGACCACATTGGGATTTGTAGCACTCTTCGAACCTGAATATCCATCTCAGTGGGGCACAAGATCACCACATAGTAGTCCTGCAAAAATGCATGCAAGAGGGGATGGGAAAAGGAGAACTCAACAGGATGGAATGTTACAGGGGGAAATATTTGCCACTGATTTGCCTAATATTTAGCTCAGAGACACAGGGGAAAGGAAGAACTTATAAAAGGTAACTTATTTTAATTTCCTTTTCTCTAAAGAAAAAGGAAAATGGTTCCATGCTATTTAGTTCTACTGTGAATCCACTGACGCCAAAGCTACCCAGCAAGATATCAAAGCACAAAGCTTTGCACCATGTTGTGATGAATTTGAATCACTTCCACTGGCAAAGCATGTATACACATTACATGCTTTGGAAAACAATCTCCGGTCCTGCAGCAGAAAACACACATTTAAAAGGTTCCCACAGACATCACAGTGCTCATAAGAAACATGAGGATCAACATTAAACAAGTTCTAGCAACCCTAATGAAATGAAACATTGTATGCTCTTATCGGCTTTAAACATCTGTGACAATGTATTTTTCCTCTTGAATGCTTCTTGATGATTATTATTATTTAATTTACCTGAACTGTTTGGAGAAAGTTGCCAGTCTCAAGAAACTGGGCAAGATTAATATTTCAGGCATACCTGAACTGAATATTTTAGAAACCAAGACAGTTCTGGCTGAATTGATGTTCTAATCTGCTTGATTTACCTGGAGTCTAGGATGAGCATAAAACTCATTTAGGAAATCCATAAGCAGGTCAATCTTAAGAGAACTGACACATAATACCACATGCTTCTCTGTTTGAGCTCTGTGTCGGCTATAATTTCCACCTGATTTCTGTCTTTCCATCCACAAATACGCCAGCTGTTCAAGCTGCAATAAAATGGAAAGACAAGAACAATAACATACACATTTGAAAACAAGGAAAATGTGTACATTCCTTGAGTCTCATGGCAGGAAGAGCCACAAATAAAAATTTTTAAAAAATCATATGATTCCATTGCCATTCATCATTAATGATTATTTAAGTTGAGATGGGCAATTCTCATATAAACACACATGGATTTAATGCACAGTACATAGTAGGATGAATAGAACAGCTAGTACCAACATATATAATCCTAAAACCCAAGTCGTTAATAGAAGGTGGATTAGCAGAAGGTGGAATTATTGACCAGGATCCTATTGTTTCCTCAATGTAAATGCAATGGCATAAACCACAACAGTGGATTATCCACCAGTTAACAAACTGATGGTTGTATCCCTCATTGTGCACTAACTCAATCAACAAAGCATACAAGTACCAACTTGTTAATTAGCACCACATCACTACTACATTTATTCTGCTCCATTTATGCTGACATAACAAACCATTAGGACCTTTATCTTTATGTGCACTTTTCCATTTATGTACGTTTGTATGTTATAAACCAACTCTTTCCATCTGTGGAGAACTACCATGATTGGGGGGGGGGGACTAAGTTACAGTTGAATGTGCCTGTCTTTGGAAATGCAAAAATGTTTGATGTGTGGGAATGGGAACATATCCCTTCTGCATTCAGCAGTACTAGTCTACAAATGCAAAAGCAGGGCAAAGATCCAATCATATTCTTTGGCTGCCAGAAGGGTTTCCATCCAGAGAAAGGTGGTAGGGGAGGACTTTCCCCTTCTTCCTAACGCCACTTCCATGCCTTCTCAAATTTTATTCTAGAAATCTGGATAACACTCTTATTTTGGGCCAATAAACAAAACCCGGGGGTGGAGCAAAGAAAAGCAGGGGAAAAATTCCTTTTATTTATTCATTCATTTGTTTTTTAAATATTATGAATTTGGATTTCAAGCTGTTTCTGAACACAGAGTACCCTCCCCCACCAGGAAGTCTGTATTTGCCATATGGGTGCATGCTATATAGATTTAACAACAATAACAATAGTGATAATCGTAACAGTAACATGCAAACACCACAACCAACAGTCACTGCAAGAAACAAATGTTCATCAGTCGGGGCTTCTGTGTGCAGTGACTGCTCCTCCCACTTAGGATCCATGCCCCTGATGGCGAGACAAGATTTCCTCTCCCTGAAATAGCACAGCCCGCTTTTCCCTTTGGAGTAGATGAGAACCATTCAATAACATGAAAGTAAATAAGTGCAGATTTGGATATAATTGAACTAAACTGACACTGCCTATAAAGACACAAACCATGTCAATTTTCATTATTGTAGCTCACCACACTTGTTTGTTATTAACAAAGTCAAATCATCTTCATCCTTTTTTATTAAAACAGGTTGGCAAATGTAGTCATTGGTTTTGAGTTTGTAAGCAGGGCAATAACTTCTTCAGGTCCCTGAATGCAGTTTGTTTATTTGTTTGTTTGTTCCTTCCTCCCTTCCTCCTTCCCTTTCTTTCTTTCAAAGGCTTGATGTCCTACTATCAGAATAGCTAGGAAAAGCAAGGACTTAGCAGAGAATGAGAGAGAGGAGGACGTCTTCAGTCAGCCTTGTTTCTACCTTGTTAAGGTACTTCTGGTCTGGGAGTCCAACTTTGCCAGAGACATGGTTAGCACAGAGCTACCTTAAAATCTCATTTTTCTCACAGCTACTTTAAAACTTCCACCTCTCTTTCTGCCCAGTCCTTGTTCACCCCTGCCTTTGGTCACCTAGCTGCCCTAGTGCTAGATTAGCAAGCCAAAGAAAGAAGAAGAAAAGGAAGGAAGGAACGGAAGATGAAAGCAGATGAAGGCACAAGATATGGGGGTGATGGAAGGATTCAAATAGCAGCCAGTTTCCCCACTGCTCTGCCTGTCTCAGTGCTGCTACAGTCAGCTGGAATGGCTTCAAATACAATAGCTACAAACCCCTTCACATCAGCTCAAGCAATCATACTGCTTAAACCAATGTGAATGTGTTTAAATTTTTTTGAAGGGTGTTCCAGGCTGATTTCACATTGACCTTTATCTTGTATAGTCCATGGCTGGTTAGGTTTTGGTAGAGCCAGAGGTTGGGAGTTTGATTCCCAAATGTGCTGCCTACAAGTACAGCCACCTGTGTGGCCTTGGACAAACTGCACAGTCTCAGGGCATACCCAAAATAAGGGAATGGTAAACCACTTCTTAATCTTCTCTAGCTGGAAAACCCTAAAAGGGATTACCATAAGTCAGAATTGACTTGATGGCACATCATCATCATCATCATCATCATCATCATCATCATCATCATCATCATCATCATCATCATCATCATCATCATCCAACAGAAAATAATGTGATTCTGATTGTTCTAATTCTGGAGCATTTATCATGCTATTTGGCAATTTAGTAACTTCCTACAGGAACTGGAGACACTGCTGTTATGAATATGAGCAGAACAGTGAACCCAAAAATGTAGAAGTGGAGCTATGAGAGTCAAAACAAGCATGGCTACTTGAAAGAGAACAGAGCTGATAGCGTTAGGAAAAAGAAGAAAAGTCAGCTGTATGAGAAGTATTTCCTTTGTTCTCAGCCAATTATGAAATTAGGAAAAGCAAATCTTTGACTTTCTAAAATACATGTGTAGTCTCTACTCAATCATGTGGTTCAAAAGATCCATCCTATAACTTTAGACATGTACAAATGTTCAAACAGGCTCTGCTCTGAGCCACACACATGTTTGAGGCAAGGCAGATGGCGCGCCTGTAGATTTCATTTCGTCCCAAATCTGACGTGAACTGACCTGATTTGTATTTCCCAAATTAACACACAGACAGGGAAAAAGTATCAATTTTTCACACTTCTCTGAATTTTGAGGAGTTGCTCAGCTCCCAAATTACACAAAGATCCCTACTAAAATTTATATTTTCTATTATAATGCCAAGAAGCGTGTGTCCTTTAGCACACAGCACACAGAGTAATGCATGTTTAAGCACGCAACACACATATTTTAAGCAGTTTCTCGGGGGGGGGAGACAATTTAAATCACTTATAGAGAAAAAATATTTTGGTCAGAATCTAGCTAAACAATTATACTACCATTAACTGCATTTGCATAAATGTCAGCTGCAAATTGTCACAAGTGAAGAAGTTAGTCATGTGACTGGTCTGCAACAGCAAATGCCTACAGTGATTTTTAAGTTTTATTTGTCGATAATAGGTTTTGGGGGAATTATATGCAGGAAAAAATAAATATGGAGGTTGATGGGGAAATAAAGAACATGTGAAATGCAGGAGATTGGCATTCAAAATGTATTATACTGCCCAAATATGGTATCAATGAAGTTACTCTAAGGGGGGAATCTCAGCAGCTAGTTGGCTCAATGTGCAGCTGTCTGGACAAGCCAGCATCTCTAACCCATGGGAAGGCCATAGTTAGATGCTTGGTCTAATTTAAGAAATACCAAGTGTATAAAAACAGAGATTTCCATCATGTTTAGGACATCTCCAAAACACACAGCCACCTGGTTTTTACGAACAGGGAAACCATATATGCTGAGAAGATGTTGAGTGAAAATATATACAGTGGTGCCTTGCTTAACAACGTTAATTCATTCCAGCAAAATAGCTGTAGAGTGAAAACATTGTAAAGTGAAAATAAAAAACCCATTGAAACGCATTAAAACCCAATTAATGTGTTCCAATGGGCTAAAAAGTCACCGTCCAGTGAAGATCCTCCATACGGTGGCCATTTTTGGCGCCTATGTAGCGAGGAATCCGTCCCTAAGCACAGCGGGAAGCCAGTTTGAGCACCCGGTGGCCATTTTGAAAACCCAACGATCAGCTGTTTTGATTGTCGTAATGCGAAGAATCGGGTCCCAAAGCAGGGAACCGATCTTTGCAAAGCGAAAAAAAACCCATTTAGACCATTGTTTTGTGATCACAATTGCGATCGCAAAAACATCGTCGTGAAGCGGATTCATCATAATGCGGGGTAATTGCTAAGTGGGGCATGACTGTAGTGTGATGTGATTTATTTGCTAATGTTCTTGCTTATCCTTTGATAGAATTGTTTCAATAACAACTCGTATTGTAACAGAGTTTCTTTTTAACTGACTGAATGAGAGTTGTCTAAAAAGATAGCCTTTTACTATCAAAAATATGTTTTATTTGTATCTTTGAATCACTGAGCTTCACCTATATGACTCTTATAAACTCTTATTTTAAAAGAAGCTCTTATTCTAATAGAACCAGAATTTCTTTTCTAATATAGAAATATTATTTACGAATATGAATTAGAGATATGTGTAACAGAAGGCTGATTTTGAAAGCATATACTTCTGTAATTTTTGCACTTATTCAAAGTATATTATATCTTTTTGGCTTTTAATTGTTTGTTTGCAAAATAAACCTTTTAAAGAAGTAAATGAATATTTCATTGGGTGACTATGGGCCTGTGATTAGCAATGGTATTCTCTCCTTTCTGCAGAGTAGCAATATTAGATATGTTCACCAGCAGTATGCCATTTCTCAAATCAATGTTCACAGGTGACCGAACATGGAAATTAAATGGGATCTATGAGTGTAAAACAAAGCTGTCCTCCCTGTATTTGAGTGTGATTGGGTGTGTGGAAAAAAAAACAACAAAGAAAATCAGACATAAGAGGTGGAGTCTCAGGCTTAGTAGGAGAGGATTAAAAACACAAAGAGGTGTGTTTTCCCATTCTGAATAGGGTTTTCTGATTGCCCTAAAGGGGGGAAAGTTATGAATGTATCATGCAAATTTTGAAATGAGAAAAACAAACAAACATCTAAGTAACCACTTCTAATTCATTCCAGAAGCACAGTGGAAGGTCTAGATTTCTTACTGGAGAAAATCAAGCATGCACTTCACTTCAAATGGGAAGCAATACTCATTTTAATGTCTAGCTAACTTTTCCTAGTAAACAGAAGTGAATAATGTTTTTTATAAATAACCGAAGAAAATAAGTGCACATAAACAATGCAATAATTATGCAAAAGGTACGGTTATATACAACAGTCTTTAATCATTACAGAATCTTTAAAAATAAAGTTCTGTTTACTCCTGCTCCTTTTATAATGATAAACACAGAGACACAGACACCCACACAAACACACATACACACACGTATTACCTGTATTGGTAGCACTACAAGGGCAACACAGATCATAATAACAACCAGTAGCTTTGAAGGCCAGATCTTAGGAGTAACATCCCCAAAGCCCACAGTGGAAAATGTCACAATGCAGAAATAAAGGGAGTCAAACAGAGTCAGCTTGTTTCCTGCTCGTTCCAGATGCTGAATTCCACAAATACTATGTAAAGAAAAAAACGAAGACAAAAAACAAACAAAAAACCCTGTAAACTAGAGGGATAGATACAAATAGAATTGTGCATAGAAATGTGACCTACCATCTAATTGAACTATATACTTCCATATAAATACATTTGTCTACAATATATTGCTTATAAATGACAGCAGTGTGTTCCATGTAAACCGTTTCTGCCTTCTGAAGAGATCTGTAGCTCTGAGAAGCTTACACAATTTAACACCACCACATTTCCTTTTATCCTTTCCCTCTAAAGTCAAGAAGCATATTACAGTTGCTAGGACTTCATTAGCAGCTGGAGCAAATTTAGTAAGAAGGACAAGCAATTGCACAGACTGGCAAGTTCCCCAGTTGAAAATATCAGAGATAGGACGGAAAATAACAGGTAGAATTAATCATGTTGTGTCCACACATAGAAACTTCAACTGCCATTTTCAGTTGTCTTTATAGCCCAGATAAAAATGGTGTAATTATCTGTTTATGATCCTCATTCTTTTAAGCAGGATCGTATCAGCACAGTGGCAAGATCAGCTAATCTTCCTTATTTTACTGTTATTCATGGGATGATAAAATTAACAAATCCTGAAAGCTAGCTGCAAGACATTTGAACATAAATACAGAAGAGGCCTGGAAATCCAATGCGATACACAAATACTGTACAGTCATGGGCAAAAATATTGGCATCCTTGCAATTCTGTCAGAAAATATAACCCTTCTCTCAGAAAATTGTTGCACTTGGAAATGTTTTGCTACTCACATATTCATTTCTTTGGTTTGCATTGGAACACACACACACACACAAACCCAGAAAAGTGAAATCTGATACAATCCCACACAGAAACCCAAAAATGCACCAAAACATTTTCAAGTCCAACAATTTTCTGAGAGAAGGGTTGCATTTTCTGACAGAATTGCAAGGGTGCCAATATTTTTGGCCATGACTGTATATCCCATTGACACATAATGTGCTGACAAAATTCAGGAGTAGGATCTTAACTGTATTTTACTGAGATTTCTTCCTACCTTTCTCTTGAAATTGTTAGTTAATCTTAAATTCTAACACTTACTGACTTGAAGCCATTTTGGTTTAATACTCATGCATGTGTATCATTCAAGAGACCATTATTCAAGAAATCATCATAGCAACACGTGATTGAATGAAGTAACTCCTTTCATTAAAAAGTACTGGACTACACCAAGATATGATGTTCTTTGCACTGGGAATCCTGAATGTCACCTCCCTAACTATTTTTAATGGTCCCTATCTATGGGTCACAAGAGGCACAGAAAATCCATCCTATTGTGCTAAAAGTGATATGAAATCCAAGCCATTGCATTTAAAATGAAGTGAAGAAGTACACAACTGCTCGATTAAGCAAAGACACCCCTTTATGTTCATCAAAAAGAACTCTGGAAAGCATGAGATGCATTTTGACTATTAGGATCAACAGTGGAATGATGATCATTGTTTTGTCCTGTGGCATGTTGATAAGAAACATGAAGACACATTACATATTAGTGTGCTAGAGAAACTGCAAAAAGTTGGAGTGCATACTTTCCATGGAGAAGGACTGATCCCATTCAGACCTAACCACCTCCAATTAAAGAACTACTTATATCAGGAAGCAGAGAAATGTCTGACCTGAGATCCTGGAGTTCTGAAAGATGGAATTGCTCCTCACCACCCACCCCAGTATACAACCACACAGTCTCAAATAGACCTGTTCTAGTCGTACGCCTTCATGGTACTAGTATGCAGAACTGGCCCAATGAGTGGGATAGATGGCAAACACTACCAACAGGCACATCATCCTTGATCAAAAAGACTATGATCAGGCTTTGCCCACAGATTTACACCAGGCAGTGTTGAGACTGTGTAGAGAAAGACATGCTGCAGGCATGCATTAATCAGTGTTTCTTCTCACTTATTTTCTATTCTCTCCTCTCCTTTCCTCTCTTTTTGCATTTCTTTAAAATGAAACATTCACCCCTCCCTGAAGAAGTCTGTTGGAAATCCATGTTCAGGAGCACAATTAAAGCAAGAGAAGTTCTGGATCTGGTTAACAGACTGCATTTGCATTTATAATGTGTTACAACATTTAATTTGCCAATTCTGCACATAAGTCAAGCTTGGGCACCTACAACACAAATACATATTTTGTTATTCTTTTCCTCAACAGTATTCATTTATGTTCAGTGTTCTGCCAGATTTTCTCTGAGCCATGCAGATGCTCATTCATGGTCAGATTGAACTTGGGTAAAATTAACAGGTCTTTTCATAAACTCCACTGAACTGTGGCAGAAGTCACTTTGAGGGTTCATCTCTTGCATATCCGAAGATGGATGGTCTCATTACACTGCATTTGAAGCTCTTTAAATGAGAGAGATACGAACTCCAAAATAAATAAATACCTTGAGTAACCTTAACAACTCCGAAGTAACAGCCAGGACTTACTGGTGCAAGGTTTGCATCACTTGCCACATCTAACTGATGAGTTGTCAGGCACATCTTCATCACATGGTTGCTCGTGTGTCAGATTGAGCAACCAAGAAGCACCATGACATCCTGTCAATTAGCAAGTTATACAAACCTTAGGTGAACATCAGTAAGATTCCAGCCAATGTTCAACAGCATTTTTATACAGTTTCACCATGGTTTGCAGAACTAGGCAGGACTTGGACTGTCTCATTTTGAAAAACATTTGAGGGAACTGAATTCAGAGTCCCTATCCGCAATAGTCAATCCAATGAGAGCCAATGTCTAATGGAGTAACATGGGGAAGACGTTCACATGGATTCTGTCCTATCAGTTCCAAGTGAGATGGAAGATGACCATTTACCATGTGTGATTTTTATTACATGTTGTTGAAGTAAATCACGAAAGAGATCTCATAGAAGATCAAAACTGCATATTAATTTCTAGATTACTCTCCAAAGGTAATTTTATTATTGAACTTATCTTTATGATGCAATTCTGTGACCCAGAGGAGAGTGCCCTAAAGGCCAAAGATCTGCTGCCATTTCTGCTGCAGTGGTAGTGGCTTCAAAGCAGTAGGACCTTGGCTAGCATGTGCCAGAGGCAACCTAAAGACTCCTAAACTTACCCCATTGCCCCAAATGCCTTTGAAGAACACCATAAAGAATGACAGCCCTGAAACTGGTGTACCTACCTCTTCATTTTGTCACTGATCCCAAAAGGAATTTTAAAATTAAATTAAACATTAAAAGCCACCCACTGTCTAGCCACTTCAGAAGGGCATATGAAATGGTGGTAGCTGTACAATGGAATCTACCTTCTGACTCCCATAAAATTGCTTTGCCCATCAATTTCTCTACATCAGATAATGAACTTGGGTAAAACAGAGCTTATAATTTGAAAAAGCCAAATCCAGATATAAAGCTGGAATTTCTACATATGCATGCTACAGCCATGATATATGGATACATGTTTTGTACTTAAGAAAAGTAAGTCTTTCAAGCCTCCCTGATCCCATCAATGCCCTGTGAGTTTCCAGAGTTCTAGAAGCAATGGAAATTTGAGGGCATAAAGACATGAAATGTCTTTAAAAATCATCACATTATCTATAAAAGAATATTCGTGAATGCCATAGGCTGGAACTCCTCTCCCCCACTTTTTTTTTGTAGTACTTATGCATTTCAGTCCAAGCACTACTACTACATGATGCTAGATTTCTTCAGTCTTCACACTTCTGAAATAAATAAGCTGAAAACTCATCCAGCTTGGGGATGAGTTGTTCACCCTTTGGACCCTCAAGTACAGAATGTCCCAGGGGCTGTCAATATCCTCAGTACTATTTAACATCTATGTTAAGCTGCTGGGAGATGTCATAGGAGATTCGGAGTAAGGTGTCATCAGCATACTGATCTCCTTTACCACCTCTGCAGTGGAGGCCATTCACATGCTTGGCCAATGCCTGACTTTGGTACCAGAATGGACCAGGGCAAACAGGCCCAAACTGAATCTGGACAAGACTGAGATTTTGTTCCTGTGAGGGCCCTCTGAAAGGCTGGGGGGGCGGGGGAATTATCCCTAGACTGGATGGTGCTGCCTTCCTGTGTAGAGATCAAGTTCATAATTTGGGCATTCTTCTGGACCCAGCTCTTTCTTGGGATTTTCAGATTGCTGCCATGTCCAGATCGAATTTTAATCAGTTTTGGCTTATCACCGAATTCCACCCCTACCTAGACGAAGGCTCCCTCAGGATACTGGTGCAGGCACTGGTCATTTTCCAAATTGATTACTGCAATGCTCTGTATATGGGGCTTCCCTTGAGACTGACACAGGGACAAGACTGGTGGCTGGAGTGAGCAAATTTGATCACATCTCCCCAGTGCTGGCCAGCCTCCACTGGTTACCCATTGTGTCCTGGATCAAGTTCAAGGTTCTCACACTCACGTATGAAGTCCTTCATAGTTTGGGACCACATGACCTGTTGGACTGTCTTCCCCAAATGTCAACTGCCTGACCCACCAGTTCTCAGGCCATGCTCCTCTGTGTAGCCACCCCAAGAGAGGCCCAATAGTCATCTACTAAAGGTAGGGCCTTCTTGGCAGTGGCACCTTATTTTATGGAATCAATTCTCAGAGGCACTATGTCTTGCCTCCTCCCTGTCCTCATTTAGGAGACAGTTAAAAACACTTCTATTCAGGGATGCCTTTCACCTTGACCTCAGCTGAATGCCTTGCTTCCAGTCTTCCCTCACTCTGAAAATTGGTTGCACCACTGCTTAAGGTTTTCAGACCATGTTTTTGCCATTTATGTTGTATTTGGTTGCGTGCAGTTTGTTTTAACTGTCTATAAACCTCCCAGAATAGTATCCTGGTACTAATAGGGCAGTATATAAATCAAAATAATAAATAAATAATAATAAAAAATTAAAGCAACCAAATAAAGCAGTAAAGTAAATAAAGCACTGGTTGAATGGGTGGTATGGAATGCTTATCAATTTCGCATAACACACAAG